AAACAATATATAAAGGGTTTAGGCCTTGCCAAAGCCTGCAGGTTCACAGGTTGGGTCCAAACCCAACCCAGTTCTTGGTAGGTTTTGGGTTAATAGGTTCAACCCGCAGGTTAAATATAGATTTAGATATCTAATTTATAAATTTTTAATAAATACTTATAAATTATTAAACTAAATAAATACTATATAATTACTAGATTAAATAAGTTATATAGTTTTAGCTGTATTTTTAAAATATTATACTTATATTTAAAATAATTTAGTACAGAAGATATCTAATTATATATAAGTTTATAGTAGTAGAAACTAGAAAATTAGATTTATTTATATATAATATATATTTAATATAAAATAAATTAATTATTATTATAATATAAATATTTTTTAATTTTATCTAATATCTGTAGCTGAGTTTCTAGTAGAGAATTATTTTTATTATTTTTATTATTATTTTTTTCTTAGTTACTAAAACTATTTAGTTTTTATTTATATTAAAAGTAATATCTTTTTTATTTATTATATATTGTAATAAAACTAGTACTTTTAGTTATTTAAAAACAGCTTTTTCTACTATTTTTTTTATTTATTATTATAACTATTTTTATTATTACTAATTAGCTTAATACTTTTTTAAAAAAAACTATACTTCTTCTTTTAGTTAATTTTAAATTTTTTTTAAAAATTTTTTTTTTAAATAATAGTTTTTTTTTTATTTTAAACTGTATTATATATTTATATAATATAAATTTTAATATTATAGTTATATTTAATAAATTCTTGTAGTAGTAGTAGATATTTTAGACTAAATTAAAAAATTATTTAATACTAGTACTAATAATAAAAATAAAAAATATATTATAAATAAGCTTTATAAGTAAAGAATATATATATTAATTATTTTTTTTAAAATATCTAAACTAGTATAGCAGAAATAGTAGCTGAAATAAATATTAAAAAAACTTAAAATAAAAAAAATAATATATATAACTATTAAAATATTTTATAAGATTATTCTTCTTATCTTCTGGACTGGGTTAATCTAATTCTATTATTTTAAAAAAATTAATATTATTATTTAGTTAAAAAAACTTTGAAATATTACTTTTTAACTATTATTTTAATTCTGCTTATTAATATAGCTTAAAATATTTAATAAGACTTTTTTAATATCTAATAACTTACTTTAAATTTTAATTTTTAGTTTAAAAGAACTGGAGTTTATATTATAGTATAAGTATTATATTAATAGTAAAAATATTATTTTTTATATTATCTATTTTAATATAGTAATAAAAAAGTTTTATTTATACTATATAAAAACCAGTAAGTATTAGCTTTTTTTATAGTATATTTTTTTATTTAAGCTGTTTAATAGATTTTTTTAAATATTTAAAAAATTTATTATAAATAATAAAAATTAGGTAAATAGTAATATTTTTAGTTTTTAATAGTACTATAGTAAATTTAAAAAATAGTTATATAATTTATAGTAAATAGTTAATCTACTGCTACTAGTTTTAATTAAGCTTAAAATATAGATAGCTATATTTTAAATAAAACTTATTTAAAAATAACTATAGATATTTTATATAATAAAATATAAAAAAAATTAAGTTTTAGTATATTTAAATATTTTAAATTAGTATTAATACTAATAAATTAAATTATAGCTTATAAAAAACCTTTTAGTATTAAAAACTAGTATTAATAAAAACTATAAGACTTTAAAGCTATAATAAAAATCTTAATAATATAATAACTTTTAAAAATAAAATAATAAAATTAATTAATTTTATTTAGTATATTAATAATTTTTTATTTATTATATTTTAACTGTATTATCTAGTCTTAACTTTTAATTTACTAAAGCTTAGTAGTATTATTTTAAAAATTAGTTTTTATTTAACTAAAAAGCTGTTTTAAACTTAACTAAATTATATAAGCTATATAAAAAACCTAAATAATTACTATATTATTATTAAAACCTAATATTTAAATAATTTTTTAAATACTAATTAATAATAATAGTAATAGTAAAAACTTAGTTTATTAAATAATATTACTATAATAAATAAAGTAGAATAAAGTTTAAATAATTTTTAAAATATAGTTTATACAGTAGTTTAAATCTAAAAAGTATTTTATAGTAGTTTTAATTATAATTAACAAAGTAATTAGTTACTGCTATAAAAATTTATTAAAAAAATAATATTTAATAGTTAAATATTAGTAAAATTTTACTGTTTTTAAAAAACTTATTTAAAACCTATTAGTAGTACTTAAAAACTGTATTTTATAACTAATATTATATTATTTTTATAAAGAAAATCTTAAACTATTTTAGTACTTACTAAGTAATAGAAATAAAATTTTAAAATCCTAGATATTTAAAAAGTTAAAATAGTAATTATAATTTAGTAAAAAATAAAAAAATACTAGTTTTTTAGTTTAATTAGCTAATTTTAGTAGTAGATTAAAATTTAAATACTTATATAAAACTATTTATATTAGTATCTACTATTATAAATAAAAAAATAGTATAGTATATACTTTTTATATAAAGTTTTAAATATAATAAATTCTAGTTTACTTTATATATAAAATAATATATTTTTTTATAGTTCAAGTTTTATTTTTAAGGCTAAAATAATCTAATATTTTTTTATAATATCTATATATTATTTTTAAAATACTATTTAAAGCCCTTATAACTTAAGTAAAATAATTCTAGACTTTAAAAAAATATTTTATATTTTACTGTATTTATTATTTTTGATTAAAATTAGTTTAAAGCTACTAAATAATATAGTTATTAAAAGTTATACTAAAGTAAATTATATAATAATTATTATAATTAAAATAAATATAATTAAAAAAAAATATAAAATTTAGTAGTAGAACTGGTTAGATAAAGTTAAAGTTAACTATAAATTTTATTTTAAAAGTAATATTTTATTAACTAATTAAAAAATTAGATATAATCTTATTAGAAAAAACCAGACTACTATTAAAAATATTTAAATAATTATTATAATATAATAATATACAGATATTAGTAAATTAAAATATTTTAAATAAAAAATTATAAATATTTCATAGTAAAATAATAAATTTATAATAAAAAAAATCTTTTAAATTAGAAAAAAATAGAAAATATTTTTTTTTATATTCTAATTCCTAAATAAATAGTTTATATTAATCTTATTATAAAAAAATTAACCTGTTTAAAAATAGTAAAAAATTAAAGCTAATTAAATTATAAAATAAATAAAAAAACTTTAGATAATTTATAAATTAAATAGATTATTTATTAAAAATTTATAAAATTTATAAATTATCTGCTAAAAAATTTTGTAATCTGTTTATATAAACTAAAAAAAGCAGATAAAACAGAAAAAGTAGTAAATACTAAAAAAGTAGTAAATATTAAAAAAATAGTAAATATTAAAAAAATAAATATTTTAGCTTTATACTATAATATTTAAAAAGATTTATTAATTAAGTAAAACCTATAGAATATAGTATAAATATATTTTATTAAATAATATAAATTAAGAAGTATAAAAAATAAAATTATTATTTAATTTAATAATTTTATAAAGTTATTTATTTTATAAAATATATATTTATAGCTATATATAAAAAGTATTTTACTAATAATACTAATATTTTAATTTTAATACTTTTAGTAGTTATTTTTATAAATAAAAGCAGTAGCCTATACTGGTATAAATTAGATTTTAAATATACTTTATATAAATATAATAATTTAAAAAAAAACTACTATTATAAAATCTTAATACTAATATAAAGTAAAAAAAAAAAATTAGATTAGATTACTTACTACTCTTATATATTTTAGTATAGTTTAAAAAAAACTTTATATTTAAATAGGTTTTTAATAGGTAATCTGCAGATTAATATACCTAACCCGCGGGTTGGCAGGTTCAGGTCTTAGGTTCAGAATTCAGACCCGACCCATGGGTACAGGTCCTGATGTTGGACCCAAACCCGACCCGTGGCGAGGCCTAAAAGGGTTTGTCCTAGAATCTTAAAGAGGCCCCGGGCTCATAACCTATCAGCAATATTGAGGTCTCAGAGTAGGCTCTGGAACATGTTTTCTCCATTTTCTTAGTGCTTGGTGGAATTAGCTACATTCCCGCGGGTAAACAACATGGAGAGGCCTTTGGAATCACATGGCCGGATTGCTATGGAACGCTGACAATTTCCATCATTGATTGACTATCTCAGATCCGCTGCGGGAGGTGTGGATAAAACACTGCCTTACGGTGGGCCATAGGGGCCAACTGTGCGGCGGTATCCAGGCCAGCGAGCAGCGGAAGGGCTTGCGGCGGTAGCAGTATTATTTACTTTATTTTGGATACTCTAGATTTACTACTAATAAGTTTTACTAATTCCTACTGCTTAAGCAGAAGAGCATAGTTAGCTGTTAAGATAGTTAAGTAATAATTAAATAAGTATCTATGATTATATCCATTTCTTCGCCATCAGCAACTATCGTCCCTGATATCAGTAACCGCCTTTTTCAGCCTTTTTACTATAGGAAACCGCCTCCGGCAAGGCCTTTATATATATATGTTATAGATAGTGAGAGTAATCTAATTATCTATCGTTCGCCATCAGCATTACTGTTACTAATATCATAAAAAGAATAATAAAAACTTGCTTTTAATCAAAAACCTTGATAGCAATAGCTTCAGCCCCTATGAACCTTACAAATCTGATATAAAAAGGGACTGTATCGACCACGTGACCAGCATAGCTATGGTATACTTACAATGCTGGAGATTAAACATCCAGGGCAGGGGCTAGTTACTATTTTAGTACTGCTGCGTAAATATTGAGTGGAAGTCCAATTTGCCGAGTGGTTTGCAATGGTCTTCCGTAGCAAAGCACCCGAGCTTAGAATAGTACTCCGTAGCTTCCCGAGGAACCAAGACTGAGTCAAGGGCTCCCACCAAATACATAATAAGTAGTGGGGTTTGATTACTGAACACCTTTTCTCGCGTCATGGACGCGGCACGCGTCTTCCGTTTCCCGGTGACTTTCCTCCAGCAAACCACTAAACCATCACAACCAAATTTTGACATCAGACATCTTGAAAGTCATCTCATATCTGTAGTGTTCGAAGCCTCTCACTCTCTTGATTGAAGCTATCAACACACTTAGCGTCTAGACACTAATTACCAGGCACTCGGAGCAGGCTACATTATCATGGCTTCGGATCCAGCATCGCAGGTCTCGATTGGAGCTCTTAGGTAGGTTATCCATTCAACTCACATCATCAGTCACTGACACGGTGTGATAAAGCGCTATCTTCGATGAGACCAAGCCCCAGATACAGGAACCTATTGTTCAGTGTGTTCAGATTAAGCCACTGCCGCCCCAGCAGAACAACCAAGAACGTTTCAGGGCTGTCTTCAGCGATATTTCAAATTATGTCCAGACTATGCTCGCTACTCGTCAGTCAGAATTCTTGTTGCTTTTTGACAGGCACAATTTTCCCCAGCTCATAAATTAATCCTAACTGCCGTGTCGTGTAGAATTGAACCACAAGGTGACAAGTGGCCTGCTTCGCAAAGGATGCTTTGTCAGGCTGAAGTCATTTCAGGCAAATGCTGTGAAAGGAAAAAAGTTGTTGCTATCATCTTGTCTGGTCGTCCACGGCTAACGTTTCCCACAGGATTCTCATTATTCTTGACCTGGATGTTCTCCAAGACTTGGGTGAAAGCGAGAAACTCGGAGAACCGCGACCGTTAGAGAGTAAGGGCGAAGAAGAAGAAAAAGCACAACCAACAACAATATCGAGTAATGGGTTTTATGGCTCTAAGCCCCAAGCTGCACCAGTGCAGTCTAATCACCGAACGCAAACGACTCGGACAGGTCTTCCTTCAGCAGCTCATACAACTATCTATCCAATCGAAGCCATTTCCCCATACTCGCACAAATGGACAATCAAGGCTCGCTGTACAAGCAAATCAACCATCAAAACGTGGCACAACAGAAATACGGAAGGTAAATTATTTAGCGTAAACTTGTTGGATGACAGCGGTGAAATCCGCGCAACAGGGTTCAATGATCAGTGTGACATGCTCTACGATGTCTTCCAGGAGGGCAGTGTTTATTATATCTCGAACTGTCGTGTCCAGATCGCCAAGAAGCAATTCACAAATCTGAACAACGACTACGAACTAACCTTTGAAAGAGACACTGTTGTTGAAAAGGTACGTCAGCACTTACAGCCCCATTACGATAATTCTCTAACAATTTCCTCAGGCGGAAGACCAGAGCGATGTGCCACAAGTGCGGTTCAATTTTACTACAATTGGCGATCTCCAATCAGTGGAAAAAGACACTACAATTGACGTTATCGGCGTGCTGAAAGAGGCTGGCGAAGTATCTCAAATCGTCTCAAAGACCACAAGCAAACCCTATAACAAGCGTGAATTGACCCTTGTTGACAATACCGGGTACTCAGTCCGGTTGACTGTCTGGGGCAACACAGCAATGAACTTTAACACCCTACCCGAGTCAGTGATGGCGTTCAAGGGTGTTAAGGTTTCCGACTTCGGAGGACGAAGCCTAAGTCTGCTGAGTTCAGGTTCGATAACAGTAGACCCTGATATCGAAGAGGCTCACAAGCTTAAGGGCTGGTATGATGCACAAGGAAGGGATGGTGCTTTCACGTCCCATGCCTCCATGTCGGGTTCAGCGACGTCCGCCGCAAGGCCTGATCACTTTAAGACCATTGCCCAGATCCGGGAAGAGCAACTGGGAATGTCTGACGAGGCAGTCTACTTTTCACTAAAGGCGACTGTTATCTACATCAAGCAAGACAACATATGTTACCCCGCATGCCTTTCAGAAGGCTGCAATAAAAAGGTGACGGAGCTTGATCCTGGCCAATGGCGTTGCGAGCGTTGCGATAAGACACACCCGCGACCAGAATATCGCTACATAATGCTTGTTAATGTTAGCGACCATACTGGTCAACTTTGGTTGAGCTGCTTTGACGACGTGGGAAGACTGATGATGGGCACGACGGCAGATCAGTTGATGGAGCTGCGACAGGCAGACGAAAGAGCGGCGGGTGAACTGTTTCAAGACGCCAATTGCCGTACGTGGAATTTCCGATGCAGGGCTAAGATAGATCACTTTGGTGACCAACAGCGGTAAGTTTTGAGCCTTGCATTGATTTAGCGCAATTGGTTACTGATCCTATCTCTACCCTGGCTTTTTAGAGTTCGATACCAAGTATCATCGGCCAGATCAATCAACTACACCGAGGAAGCTTCACGCCTGGCAGAACAGATTGACTCGTATAATTTGTCTTGAAGACATTCATTATTCAGACCGATGCACTACTCTGATTTGCTTTCAGTAAATCAGCCTAATAATCAACCTGAGTTTGCGAATGTGATTTCATTTATCATGAGCATAACTGACATGCCCGCGCCTGACTTCAAACTGCCAGGGCTCGCATCCGTCGTTGTGTTCTAGTGATCAATCCCAATTATAATACATGCCCCGTTCCCTGCGCATCAGTAAAGTAACACCTGCAAGTAATTATGAGTATTTAATAATCTATTACTTCATTATGACTAATCTTCCGCTGTGGGTGACAAATGCGTGAACGTGTTGATTATCTAACTGAGCAGTTGCTGACTAGGTCGAATAAGTATCAGTCGAATAACTTCTTCTACTGGGGCATTCAATCCAATTTTATCTTCTATCAAGTGCTTGACTACTCATCAGTACCACCATGCGGGCGATCGGTCAGGACCCTTTGAGAATTCATTTTTTTTGATCAAAATTGATTCTAATTGATCATAAATAGGCGTGCGCGGCGGGAAAGGGGATGCTGATGCCCTTTTCATCGAAGAAATCCCCACTCCGAAGTTGAATGGTGGCGATGCCTTGATCAGAATAAGGGCCTTCGGTTTGAATCGAATGGATCTATTGCAGCGGGAGGGCAAATATCCTGTTCCGCCGCAGGCCCCAAGCACCATGGGAGTAGAATTCTCTGGTATAATTGAGGAACTCGGAGCAGCCGATTGCAATGGCTTTCGGATAGGCGATGAGGTTTTTGGCTTGGCGTATGGTGGTAAGTGAGTTTTGAAAATGGTTTTTGAGATGATTAATCAGTGTCTTGCAGGTGCATATGCTGAGTACATCGCTGTATCGACGAACATGTTGATACATAAACCTCTCGAAATGACCTGGATAGAGGCAGCAGGAATACCCGAGGTAGATTGACGTGTGTCCCCGAATAATCACTTTATTCTAAAACCTACAGACATGGATCACGGCATGCCAAGCTCTTTATTTGATCGGTGGTCACACGCCAGGCAAATCCGTTCTCTGGCATGCTGGAGCATCATCAGTGTCGATAGCCGGAATTCAGCTTGCTCGAAACAGTGGTGCATCGGAGGTTTATGTAACTGCTGGTTCCAAGGAGAAGCTCGACTTTTGCGTCGGTCATTTGGGTGCTACTGCGGGTTATAATTATAGGGACCAGGCTTGGGATGTGGAAATTTTGAACGCAACAAATGGCCGCGGTGTCGATGTTATAATTGACTTTGTCGGCGCGACACATTTCCAGGGCAATCTGAATGTAGCAGCAAAAGATGCTCATATTGTTCAGCTGGGACAAATGAGTGGCTCGATACTCCCTGCTAATGTTGACATTAGTGGCATTTTAATGAAGCGGCTAAGGTTCGAGGGCAGCACGCTACGGAGCAGAGACGAAAACTATCAGAAGAAATTGCGTGATCTCTTGGTTGATCAGGTATTACCAAGATTCAGGGATGGAACTTTCAAAGTTTATGTGGAGAAGGTATTTTCATTTGACGACATTGCAGATGCTCACAGGCTGCTTGAGAGCAACCAGACCAAAGGAAAGATTATCTGCACCTTTTAACTAGTCAAATTCATAATTTGTGGCTTGGCCTGCCACAGAATCAGACAAGCAGACGCTACCAGGTGGCATGGGCAGCTAACTAATTACAGAATGGTTTAGCTAGGACGCCACAAGTGTACCAATATGATGAATGTGTACTAGGCAATACTTTTCTACAGTACCTGCTTACATACGTACCGAATGTTATATAGTGTACAGAGCTGTATTCCAAAAGTTATTGGACTGCTGTAATTCTTCTAGTAAATATCAGTATATTAACTTGTTGATATAATATATTATAAGTATAACTATTTTACAATAGTTGTAAATGTAAAAGGGTCAGTAAGGTATAGAATAGTAGCAGTCTTTTAGTTTTAAGACTAATTCTTGCTATTTTAAAAGTATAGCAAGTTTCTAGAGATTAAGTATTCAAAGAATTTAAAATTATTAATGATATAAGTGTTGTATAAAGAATATATAAATAGTTTATTGGTAGTTTATCAAGAATATAAAAATTATTTATAATAATTAAGCTTTTTTGATATACATAGTTGTCCCCATTAGTATATGGACAGTACAAGTAATACTATTTAAACAGATAAAGTTGCCAATCCAGGGCTGGAAGAAACAAAGATGTATACATATATGGTTAATCTATTCTACTTTATAGCTATTTTATTTATATACATATACATTGTCTTTTTGAAAGCGGTGAAATGGGGCATCATCCAGAAGCAGTTGTAAAGGCAAGATAAGTCAGTTAGGTATAGAATATATAAGGGCTGAAGGGTGAAATAGTATGATGAATAAATAGCTCTTGCAAAGTCTAAGATACTACTATATTATTTTAAAATATTATTACTAATCTGTTTAACTTATATAACAGCTGCTGTTTTTATAGGCAGCTGTAGACAGTTTACTTAGCTGTTATATAGCTGCTGCCTTAGACTATCTATATATAATTTTTTATAAATATATATAAAGACTAAAAGAGCTGCTTAGGCTCTTATAACTACCCTTTTTTCTATAAATAGGTATTATTTTTTATAATAGTACCTGTAAATACTATTTATAAAAAATTACAGTAGAAAACAAATAGTTTATTATTTTTTATTTTTATTAAAAGGTATATTATACTGCTGCTACTATTATTTTTATAAAATCCTTTTATTAGTATATAATCTGCTATTTACTGGCTGGTTTTTTTATAATAGTTTATAAATAGCTCTTTATACAATTAAAAAAACTCTTTTTTAATAAATAGTATTAAATTTTTTAATTTTTATTTATTTTAACTGTTTAAAATACTTTACAGTTAAGCCAAGCAGGGCTAATTTTATAAAAATAGCTTTTTTTTCTAGCTAACAGCTTTTTTTAAATTTTTTTTAAAATTATTCTTATAGTTTTTTTTATTTATTACCCTTAAAGTACTTTTTTAATAGTATATCTAACTAATTTATATTTCTTATATAATTATAAATACTACTACTACTATAATTATATTTTATATATCTTTCCTACAGCTTACTTTCTTTTATAAAAAATAGTTTTAATTACTTTTTTAGCTTTTTATTATAAGTTATTTTTATTTACTACTATAGCTGCCTATATATTCGCCCTCTACTAAATAAATATTATATTTTTATTTTTAAAATGCAGCTAATATTTTCTAGTACTATAAAAAATATTTTTTATTATTTTAAAAAAGAAGTCTACTTTTATTTTTATAACTGCTGCTATTATTTCTACTATTACTACTGCTGCTGTAGTTACTACTACTACTTTTATAATTATTACTACTGCTACTTTAGCTTTAGTTTTTATTTTTACTATAAATTCTACTACTGCTGCTGCTGCTGTTACTTATTTTCTTATATATTATAATTTATATTTAAAAAATAAGGTTTTTTAGTTTATAATAACTAATATTATATTAGTTTCTACAGCTTTTATTTTTATATTTTTAAAATTCTTTTTATTTTTAGTAGAAATATTTTAAAGCTAATTAAAACTATTTAATTTTTTATAAATAAACTGATAATAAAAAATAAAATATTTTACTTTTTATTAAAATATTTTCTACAGTTTAGTATTTAAATTATTTAAAAATAATATGTACTATATTATTTTCTTAAAATAGATTTACAGTTTTTATTAGATAATAAGTAGATCTGGATTTATAATTTTATTATATAGTTTATACTATATATTAAATAAAAAAATCTTAAATAGCTGGCTATTTAAATACAGCTTTATAAAAATATTTTTATAAATTTAGACTAGGCGGCAGCCGCTGTTTAATTAAATATATAAATACTATTATAATTCTTTTTAAAAAATATTTTATAATTATAGTAATAAAAAGGTTAGCTAAAAATATAATAATTATTTACATACAGATAATAAGTACTGCTTTTCTATAAAAAAGTAGTGTATTTTTATAAATTTTAGCTTATAATTACTATTAGTAAATACTATAGCTTATATTAGTTTACAACTAGTTATAGTTTTTCTTTTATTTTAAATTAAAGTTTTTATATTTTTTATATAATAAACTTATTTATTTATTTCTTTTATTATATAAAATAATCTATAGTAGTACTAGTCCAACTTTTTATATAGTCTTTTTTATAATAAATTTTTATAAACAGCTTAATTTTTTAGTCTACTATAAATACTAGAAATCTGCAACTTTAGTTATAAAAGTTCTTTTAATATTTATAAACTAGTTTAAGATCTACACCTATTTACTGCCTTATTTTATTAACTTTTATAAACATAATTTTTTAATTTTTTAGTAGAATTGTCTAGTACTTGTAAATTAAGTATAATTATATATAAATACTTACCTATTATTATAAAAAAATAAAAAGTATTTTATAAATATTTATTAGAAATTATTATATATAAAATTACTCATATTTCTAATAGTAATCTTATAAAAATATTACTAATTATAAAAAAAAGCTGTTATAATAATATTACAGTTGTCTATTTTTAAAAGATTCTTTTTAACTAAAGTTCTAAATTTTATATTTCTATAAAAATAAACAGCTGCTTAATAGACTGTAAGATAAAGTATATACTATTTAGTCAAGTAATTTATTTTATAATTAAATTATATAGGTATATAAGTTTTTTATTATCTATTAAATAAATAAATAATATAAAAACTTTATATAAGTATATATTTTTAGCAGTATAACTGCAGGCCGGCTCTAAACCTATATTTTTTATTAAATAAATAGTTTTTATAGTATATAATACTTTACTCAATAAATTTAATAATTATTATACTAATTAACTTCTGGGCCTTATCATTTTTATTATACTATTAATCAAGTTTTAACAGATAATATAAGGCAGAGCTATAAAAAGTTTATATAAAAATATTTTTTAATAGTTAATCTATGTAGTTTTTTTATTTTTTATTTTTTAGTTAAAGCTGGGTATATTTATTATCTTATTATAAAATATACAGACCTATAAAATTTATATAATAAAATATAATTATTAATTGAAACTATGTATAATTACTTATATAAGGCGGTTATTTTAATAGATAAGTATACTAAAACTATATACTTAATTTTATAAATTATTTTATACTTTTTAGAAAATAATTTATTT